TTTATTATCTAGTCGAGCAAAAACTCATAGAGTGATTAGGCCGTTGAAAGTAGCTTCTGTTTATCAAAGTGTTTCTTTGATTGCAAAAGAAATATGCAACAAATTGGAACAAAAAACATAATTTCGTCAAATCTGTGGATCTATTTTCCAACAAATTGAAAAATGCAATTATGTGAATGGAATTCACATTTTTTAAGTGGCCCAAACTTTGGCGAAGTCCTCCATATTGTTGACGGTGAATTGGCAGTTCGTTATAATGTCCGCTAGACCGTTATATGAAATATGGCACTTCCAGTGATGTAATCTTTGGTCTTTGTTGATGGACCGATTGATTTCCTGCTCCGCGAAGGGAGGGAAGTCGTATTGGAGTCTGTTGGGAGGAGGAGAAGGCTGCAGCTACTGTACCGCGCCCGTGAGTGCAGCGATCTATTGTATCAGCTGCTTGGACATGGAGTCAATTAACCTCTTGATCCTATCGACTTGAGAGGACACTAACCGTGGGCAGCCCGCTACCAACATCTACGTTTGTATCCTCTGCAACCTTTTTAGACTCAACGATGCTCTTCTGCAGCTCAACAGTTTTGTCTGGACGCCAGATCATCGTTCTGCTTCTGGAGCTCCACAGGTTTTTCTCTAGGAGTTGCCATCTAATTATATGATTCCGCTGACATCCCTTGCCTTGAAATCGGTGGTAGCTCCCTGTAGGTGTACGGTTTGTCCCTTGTTTCTGACCGTGTCACTCAATCGCTCATAAGCGTAGGAGCTTCTCACCACTTTTTTTCTTTCACCCCTAGGTCAACCTTGATCCCACCTCCTCACACACAATGTCACTCCTTTTGAAAAACCGTAGAAATGATGTACAACAGCAGCTGCCTAGTTGACAGGTGGCGAGATAGTGTGCTAAATTGCTAATGCATCACTTGGTGATGTGGGGTTGTTGTTGATGTGGCAGCTAACCAAGCGCAATTCATGTACGAAGTCAAGATTGTCACCAGCTCTCAAACCACTAATATGATTCTCAAGCAATATCCATCATTACACTTGCATGCTTGATTGAGATGGGATCACACTTGATTGCAAACTGCCCACAAAATTGGAATTGAACAATGATCCACAATCACATCAGAACAGTTGATGAAACCTGGAAAAAGTTCGAAAAACTGTTATTGGAATGGAGTGCTCTGCCTCCCTGAGCAACATGCAACAATCCGCCCAAGAAGCTGTCCAGTGAACAGCAAGATATCACTGGCTGTGTGATGCATGCCTGCGGTGAAATCGTTTGCAGTGCAAGTCCAAAGATCACCAATTTGACAAACCACACAGAAGAAGGCTCAAATCAGATATGAATTCTAACGGTGCAGCAAATGACAATGTGGCTCAGATATGGTCTCACATCAAGCTGGGAGAGGTCCAAGCATAGAAGAACCTCCCCGCTGAAATCGTACACAGATGAAGGTGGAGGGATATCGAAGGAAGGAGGAGGAGGAGAAGAAGAGGAAAACCCGATGTATGGCAGTGCCAAATAGTAATAGTTTCTCCTCTGCCTCTCTCTCCGCCTTAACCTCCAAATGCCCTCCAATAGTGTGTTATGTGCCTGATTGAAACGTCATCCAACAGAGCATTCACACGTTCCCATACACATGCGCAATGACAAACCGGATGGAAGACACACAACGGAAGCTCAAAACTCAAAATGAATTGAATGTTAATTCAATTCTTAGTTCCTCGTCTCTCCCCAACTCAATCATCTGCACCAAGATTCCAAGAATCCTAACCATGTTTGAACAACCCCAAACAAACTTCAGCAATGTTTCATTGAGTTATCTGGAGCCTTCTCCTTCCTCCTACATCATCTTGCCAACCCTGGCTATGGCGCTCATCGTCATCCTCATCACCCATCCACTCGAGTCTGGAGACGACCAATGCCACTCCTCCCACCCAAACGCCAATCAGGAATCGCATCAAAACCACCATCGCTGGGTCCGCGCCCAACAAGGAGGTCAGCGCCAGTTCCCTGGATGCAGAAGGACCTCCAACTTAAAAGAAGAAAAAACAGAGGCTGCAATGAAGAAGAAGATATGGCAGGGCCTAACCCCAACAGCACAGGTATGGCATCGACGCAGACTGCGCCTGAAGCGCCTCCTTCAGCGCTCCCCCTCAGCTTCACTGCAAACCAAGAACCAACAAAAGAACCCGACTCTCCTTGACTCAATTTTATTTCTAGACCAGGGTAGTCTGGCCGACTGTCGGCTGCCCCAAAACCGTCCACTGCCGACCTGCCGATGGTAGGACCGGTCGGCGCCAACCAGTAGGCGATCGGTAGGCACCCTTCCCGCCAAACACCCCCCGTCGGCCTCCCCGAACACTCCCCAAACACACCCTGAACCTCCCCAAGAGACCCCCACAAACACCCCCTGAACTTCCCCAAGAGAACCCCGAAACACCCCCTGAACACCCCCTGAACACCCCCCCAAATACCCCCCCAAATACCCCATGACCCCCCCCAAACACCCCCTGAACACTCTCCAAACACCCCCTGCTGCAATAGCAAGGGAGGGCCTGGGCTTGAGTAGGACCCAGGCCACATGTTTGCAGGCCTGGGCCTGTGTTTCAGGACACAGATTCACATCTGGACCACCAGCTGGACTGAGAACAGTAAAAAATACACACGCTTGAACTCAGACAGACAAAATACTCACACACCTGCCTGGAATCAGAAGCAAAGGAAACTGAACTGAGAACAGACAAACATCCCACACGCTTGGACTCAGAACAGACAAGATACTCACATGCCGTCCTGAAATCAGAAGCAAAGCGAACTGGAGAAACTGGACTGAGAACAGAGAGCAAACACACACTCGCCTGGACTCGAAACCGACAAAATACTCACACGTCATCCTGAAAGCCCACTCATGAAGGCCCTCCAAGTTCGGTAAGGGGCCTTGGCAAACTTCTAGGCGGCCGGGAGCCACCTATAGGATATGTCCAGGCTTCTAGCCCAGTGTGGGAGGTCCTCAGCATGCCACAATATGTCTGCATCCACTCTCCCCTTCAACCAGCGCTAGAAGTCGCGCGTCTCCACTGCTCTCCAGTCTCAACAAGCTGACAGGAACACTACATGCAAGTTCTGGCATTCACCTTCTTCAACAAAGGAAAACAAAACAGCTGTACTTACCTTGTTTGGTTCCAGGCTCAAATCCTGGCTAGAACGAAAGCAGCAAGCACTTGAAATGCAACCCATACCTCGGCAGGTCGCGAGTTCGAATCCCACAAACCCAACAAAAGTGGGGAAAGCGTAGAGTACATGGAGCGGAAACAGGCCTGAATTACCTGGAATGCCTGTTCCTTCCGGCCGGTTGCGAGTTCAAATCCCACAAACCCAACAACAGTGGGAAAAGCGTAGAGTACATAGCTTGGAAACAGGCCTGAATTACCTGCAACGCCCGTTGGGGAAGGAAGAGATTGCTCTGGCAAACTCATGGTTGCAGGCCAATGCCCAGTAGAGTGCAAAACTTGTAGAATGTCTTATAGGCCTGGAGGGCCATTTTGAACCTTTTGCGCAATTAATTTAGAGTGGGTTTGAGAGCGTGTTATGTACAATGTCAGATGGGGATCTGCTTATGGGTTCTTGGTTTAAACCACCAGTCCATATTTGAGGGTGTGTTATGTAAAATGTCAGATGGGGATCTGCTTNAATGTCAGATGGGGATCTGCTTATGGGTTCTTGGTTTAAACCACCAGTCCATATTTGAGGGTGTGTTATGTAAAATGTCAGATGGGGATCTGCTTATGGGTTCTTGGTTTAAACCACCAGTCCATCTGAAGCTGAATTGACGGACAAAAAAACTTTAAAAAGTGCATTTTGCCGAGAGCCTAAAAGTCACCGGGACCCGCTGTTGGAAAAAACAACACGGTACCAGTACCGGTTTCTGTATTATTGAAAAGTCCGGGCCTCTCACAGACATTTTGGCACCGAAGTTACTATTCATCCCAACCTCTACTGCCCAGGGGCGGTACTCGTATATGAAAAGCTGTCGAAAACGGATGAACAGTAATTTGGATATGTGGCGGCTTAAACCGCCAGTACATGGCCCAGGCAAACTTGAGAATGGAAATCGAGTTTAATCGACTCATTCTGGAGAGTTTGGAGGCTTGGGGCTACCAGACTAAAATGGCTGGCAGCGCCAACGAAAAGAACAGACAAAGCGCCGTGGTGACATTTCGGCAAAGCTTGGCGCATAGGGGGAATCCGCCTCGGCCAAAAAGAGGCTCGGATGTATTCGTGGCTTAAGCCTAGACATATGCTCACAATGGAAAAAGGGGAAAGTATATGTTCACTTCAGTTGCACATTGTTTAAATCACATTCCACAATTCAGAGCACGCAGTGTTGCTGCGATGCATACTGGTTATCATATATCGGGTACACCGTACTACTCCCCTTTTAAGTTTTTCCTTTTCCCCTTATCTTTGTGGGTTCTCGAGAGCCTAAAAAGAGGTCTTGCTGCACCTTCCCTTGCATGACATTGTTTAGAAATGACATCACAATGATCACATTCCATTCCCCGGTAATGCCGTGCTATTGATCAGTGCGAGTTTGAACTTTGATGTTTAAAGCCTTGTTGACCGAGTTTCATAGTTTATTATCGTCTTGGTGATGTTTAGAGCTTTGGGTTTATGACTTAACGTCAGTGTTTTCAGTATTATCATCTTGACTGAGTTGCACAACATCTTAGGGTTTATTGCTTTACGTCCACGTCATCTAACAAACTTTCCGAAATGCATGATGTTCCTTTATGACTTCTGTAGGTCAGTGTTTTTAGTGTTGGCGGGGAGACAACTATGGCATCTGGGCAAAAACGTTGGGAGTTTCTGATGGCAGACTTTGAGAAGGCCACTTTGACACCTAGTAATAAGGAAACTTGTCAATCCTGCCTTCAATCACAGATTCTAGAAAGGGTGCATACCATTGCACAATCGTTTACTTCAGAATCCAAGCCTGACGTCCAGTCACGATCACCAATGGACCAGATCCAATGGATGGAATCTCATGCACGCTCAGGTTAATAACTTGTGTGTATCCCATTCCATTTCCGCCTCGTCTCCCCTTTTCCATTATAGCCCATTGGGTCTTCTTCTTCTTCTTCCTTCTGCTTCCTTCTGCTTCCTTCTGCTTCCTTCTGCTTCATCCTCCTTCCTTCTGCTTCCTCCTCCTTCCTCCTCCTTCCTCCTCCTTCCTCCTCCTCCCCTCCTCCTCCTCCTCCTCCTCCTC